ACATTGATTAATTGTACTTTGGTGCTTCTAATATGAACAAAGATCTCTCTGTCCCACCCATGTTCTTCCCAACTTTGGGTCAAATATTATATGGCCTGAAGCCATATAAGGCTGCCTAGAGGATGATGGAGGTTAGACCCCAATGCGCCAGGAAGGTCCTAAGTTAGGAGAAAGTGGCCTTGTGTTGTTTTGATGATGATGATGATGATGATGATGATGATGATGATGATGATGATGATGATGATGCTGATGATGAGGTGGTGGTGGTGGTGGTGGTGGTGGTGGTGGCTGGGCGAATTCGGCCTTTTATTTCAGATTCATGGGTCTGCCGTAGGATCCATGACGTGGAGACTCTGTTGCCGTGTGCTTTTTTGAGCAAGCTCGCTTACAAATCCCCCCCCACCAATTGGTTTCGTTTATGAGTCAGGGCTTCTTATCTGTGGGAGGAATCGCTGCACCTTTCTCAGCGACCCGATTGTCTTCCAAACGGAATTGAAAACCACCACCACGAGAAAGTGTTTTCATAATTGTGTCCTAGTTCAGGAAGGGCGTTGGACGTCAAACCCCCCACCCACCCACCCAAAAATATGGGAATTGTCTGCATTGGTGACGATTCTTCACTATGTCTGCATTCAATGACGTGGCAATAGGAGCCCCTTCGTTGTTCAAATGGTTGCGTTAAAAGTTGTGTCATTTATTTGCTAATGAATCTATTGGCCCGTGGCCAATAAAAATCAGGTGGTGGTATTTAGATAAGAACCAATAATCTAAAAAGCATTGATAGAACACCAGCCCTAGCTCAAAGCTAGCCATCGAGATAACCAAGGCAGATGCTGTTTTAATAACACACCTTTTTCCACCTGCTTTCCCTCCATTGGGTGATTTTCTGCCTGGGGGAAGATGCCGTTCCAAAAGGTTATTTTCGGCCACCCGTCGGGGGGGGGGTACAGAAGGAGCGGTAAAGGGGAGGGTTAGGGAAGGAGAAGGGAAGAATTGTCTTCATGCGAGGCCGTTTCCACCTATTATTGCTAATTCTAGAATGTCTGTGTTCTTAGAACATGTTTTATGCTCTTGTGGAATATTTTACGTTGAATGTGCTTGAAGCCTTATGGTGTGGAGGCACATTGCAGTATTGCAGTGGAGACTCTCTTCATGACCTGAGTTTGATCGTGAAGGGTTCAGGTAGCCAGCTCAAGGTTCACTCAACCTTCCATTCTTCTGAGGCTGGTAAACTGAGTACCCAGCTCGCTAGGGGTGGGGGGGGAGTGGTTCATGCAATATGTAGCCTGCATAATAAAATTGTAAACTCTGAAGATGCCGGCCACAGAGACTGGTGAAATGTTAGGAAAAACCACCTTCAGAACATGGCCAAAAAGCCCAAAAAACCCAGAACAACCATTAGATCCTGGCCGTGAAAGCCTTCGCGAATAAATTGTAAACCGTCCAGATAGAGCTTTAAGCAGAATTGAGAAATATATAAACTGCACACTTTAATGTTTCATTTCCTCTTTAAAGATGCAACAGGTACACACAGTTGTCCTTAAATTCTAATATATCGGCCCGCTGGACAGCTCAGTGCATTGGAGTACCTGGCAGAAGAGCCAGACGTTGTGAGTTCGATTCCCCATTGTGTCTCCTGGGAGAAGAGCCAGCCTGTGTAGCCTTGGGCAAGCTGCACAGTCCCAGAACACCTTTAGAAGAAACCATAACTGAGTTCACTTAGAATCATCATGCATCGGAATCAACTTGATGGCATGCGAGCAATCTGTCTAACACAGCCCTTCCCTACAAGTGTTGTTAGACAAGGCAGTGCCCCAAATCCGGTTGCTTAGTGCAGTAAATTACATCAAAGTAGTCCCATTGAGTCATGGGGACTGTTGAATCAGCTCTTCCGTATGTTTCATTGATTCAAATGGACTTTACTAAGTGTAGCAAGTTGCAGTTAGAGTAGGCCCATTTGAATCAATGGAACTTACAGAGTTGGCTCCCCAAATCCCCATTGATTCAGTGGGCCTGCTCTAATACAATTTACGATGTTAACCAACAAGGGTTTTGCCCGGTATGTTTTCCTCCTCTCCCAACCGTAGGTCTTCTTCATTTTCAATCTCGAATCCTTAGTGAATCTCGGTGTTTTGATCTCAGCCGGCACATACTAAACCATTCCGAGCACTTTCAGCATGCTTGCAACACCGTGGGCAAACATTAACTCACTCCCTGTTGTTCTTTTATAGGGTAATTAATTATTAGCGTTGCTCCGTTCATGCTTATTTGTTAACGTAAATTTCATTTTTAATTAAACCTCTGGTGTGTGTGTGTGTGTGCGTGTGTGTGTGAAAGCCTGCTAATCAAGCAGCCCTGCTCAGCTGATCAAGATGCATGTACACTAATTAACTCCTGTGTCGAAACTCAAAGAAGGCCAAGTCCTGGGTGTTCCAAAAGGATTCTGGACCTCTTTTCTGTGCATCAATTAATTGTAGATCGCCAAAGGAAGCAGAGCTGTTGATAGATGAGCATTTAGGTTCAAGCATGCAGCAGTAGCCGTGGAGGCAGGAGGGGACTCCAGTTTTGTGGTGAACTGGCTCTGGTTTTAATCCAAACTTTAAAGCAGCTGTCCATGCTGTTGTGTGTATTCTGGGAATAGATTTCAGCACCTGGACAGCTCCGGTGAAGGACAAGCTCACTTAAACAGAGATGTCCTGTGGTTCTGACAGCTTTGGAGGTGGCTGAGTCCACCTGGGTTCAAGCATCTTGTTTTGTCAGTACGAGGGGATCTTTCTGCCCTGTTGGACCTAGTTTGATGATAAAGGGATAAGGAGGGTAGCCTCGCACGCTGTCCTGAGCTCACCGGTGGAAAGTATAAATTTACCAGGAAGTAAATGAACCAATAATGGAATGATTATGGCTCAGTGTTGACCACACTAAGTTGCCTGTTAATTCCAAGAATGTTAACAAATGGGTCTGCTTTTCCCTCCGGTTTGTTGAAGATACATCAGTAGAACCCCCATATCCGCAGGATCAGAACCCACTGATTCACTTATCCACGGTCTGAAGATATTCAAAATATTAAAAGAAAAATCCCCAGAAATGTATATTTTTAACAACAAAGTAACCTGAACTGGCTACTAGAGGGAACCACAAACCATGCTATATATAGCACACATCTACCTAAATGTTTGTGCTGAAATGTACATCAGAAAATGCACATTTAAATATAAAAGTCAACCTCCCTGACCACGTTGCTTTCGGGAGGTTATACAGAGAAAGGTGCCAACTCCAGTGTCACGGGGTGGTGGATCTCTTCCTGCTTTTAGTCCGAACTTTATAAGAGCAACACAAGGTACCATGGCCCTAGGTTCAGTACCACGGATAGCTCCGTAAAACCCCACGTGAATCCGACGACTTGACAGGCCCACATCCCTCTCTTCCAGCTACACAGCCATGAAACCCTTCAATAAAGGGCAACTCAACCAGCAGTGAAGTGCTTCTCTTTAGACATTTGCTAATCTGCCTTTATTTGGGATAACATTCTCTTTGCATCCTCGGCTCCTTGCAGTGCCATGGAAGATAATTCAGCCTACACGTCTGATTTAAATTTTCCATAGATCTGGCATCGTGTCTTTAAGTGCATAAATACCCCTTTAACACAAATGGGGACAGTTGCCAGTGGATTTCCTAAAGAGTAATTAAAGGACAGATATTTGCTTGGCTCTAAAATAAAGATATTTTGCCAGCTGTCTACTTATGCTTTACCACCAGGTCAAGGTGGCTAGTGTCTCTATAAACTCTATGAAGACGGCTCTCCTTCAGCTCAAGTGTTCTGACCTTGATAGAAGATCCGGGTGTTTACTGTCATTTGAGTAATTGTCCTGTATGAACTGATCACGTCAGTTTCACATTCTTTAAACTTCATCTAAGCAGATGCTTGGTTTGGCCTTCAGGAAGGGAAGGGAAGGGAAGGGAAGGGAAGGGAAGGGAAGGGAAGGGAGGAATGGGGGAGGGAAGGGAAGGAAGGAAGGAATTAACCAATTCATAAGTCTTGAGCCCTCAAAAAACTCTTGGTTCCACTACTGGGGCTCAAATGGGACAATGCAGTTAGCACGTTGTTAGAAGCAGAGCTCTTTGGAAACTAAAAGCCATCTGTTTATCCTGGCTCATGCTTGCCAGTTACGCTAAGCAACAGGTACAGGGGAAAGACAGGCCCAGAAGTGACACTTGATTGAAGGAGTGTTCCTATGTGCAGGGAGCAGCATATAATCCAAACAGGTACAGGGGAAAGACAGGCCCAGAATCTGGATAAAAGTGATATTTGATTGAAGGAGTAAGATGGTGTTCCTATGTGCAGGGAGGAGCATATAAGCCACTATGGATTGACTTCTTAGGTGCCAACAGACATTGACCAGCTACAGCAGTTGCCCTCATTCTTGCTAAGCCATGTACCTCTTGCAGTGTTAACTCTAGCAATAGTTTCAAGGTCCTGCTAGGATGGTGGACGGCATCCAGAAGAGCTCCCCCCCGCCTCTGCTAGGCAATTGATTCATTGCACCTACTAATTGTTCTCCTAAATACTGCACCAGAGGGATACAATCCTGATCTAGATTGGCATTGGCTGTAAGGAACAGGGCATCAGCCGGCAAAATTGCTCTGCTGACGGAGCCCTGAGATCAGAACAGCCAAAGAAGGGGCAGAGCAAAGGAAGGGTTAAGCCATACGGTGTTTGGACTCAATGGCCTTGTAGGCCCCTTCCAACTCCGTAAGTCGGTGATTCTATGGTGGGAATAGGTTTGGATTTAGCAGTTGGGTCATTGTCAACTCAACTGGTCTTGACCTATCTGAGAACCACACTTTTAACACATTATGGGGAAAAAGTTCCTATTGGTTTGCTACTTTCCTCTTAGATCTTCTGACCAAGCGTGATGTGCCTCCATCCATTCCTCCGCCAGGCACAGGCAGTAGTTACTGGGAGATGCTGAGTGAGGTGACCCTCACCACTCATGTTTTCTTTCACTCTGAGTTACCAAGGAGACATTGATCCGAGATGTGGGTTGAGTTGGCATCACACATTCCCTGACACCACCTCCAGTTTGGACCTACCTCGTGTTTATTTTTAAGGTACTTTGAAGGACGCTGGAATGCTACAGCCTGACCCATCATTACAGTAAATCTGTTTCTTGACATCATTGCGAGCACATTTTGGAAGCAAGAGAAAACAAGGGCGGTGAGATTTACACGACTTTTCAAAAAACCACACGTTGACGGAACATGTTGCGTATGTGTGCGTTGGACATTTTATCTCCGAGCAGCGAGGGGAAATGATCTTTGGGGCCATAATGAGTTGTGAACTTTGGCGGCAATTTAGAAGGAAATGTTCAGCCGTTTTGAGAAAAACCCAATGGATTAAGGGTAGAGATGGACAGGTGGATGATCATCTGTGGAGAAGGGCAACATATCGACATGGTGTCACTCTACACTAGACAAAGTATTAGTTGTGTTGGCTGGAGGTTTTGGGGAGTTGTAGTCAAAGCCCCCCAACTTTTCCAAACTGGTCTCTGCTCTCTCTCTCTCTCTGTGTGTGTTTGTGTGTGTGTGTGTTTGTGTGTGTGTGTGTACATGTAAGAGCCTGACAGCTTTCATAGCCAGAATCAACGGAGACACTCGTATTGCTGGGTGCCTTAATGGAAAACCTAAACAAACTGCAAGAAGATCATTTTTCTACTTGAAGAACCTGCAGAATTGGGAAACAGAGATTAACTTGCCCCCATCTGGACTTATCCACCACTTTCGGAGTCATCTCCGGGCCTCATGGGGCTGGAGGGCGTGAAAGCAAAACTAGGGTTCTGATTTAATGATGCAAATGGCAGCACCCACTTATGAAAAAGAAGGTGCTGTTGATCTTAAATATGGCCAAGGCCAGGTTCCAGAATTCTCCAGCCTATTCTGGGGATGGTAGGTCTCCAGAGGACACTTCCCATGCTCTGCTTTGGAGCTGGTCTCATCCCTATGGCTTGGAATAGCTTCATAATCACAGAAGGTCTCAACTCTTGGCCAGTCTGATGGGCGGTTTCGAAGCTCTGCCCATTCACAAGTCTTAAAAAGGGGGTGGACACCCTCATCCCCACCCACACCAGCTTGGGGATGGTCACTTTAGAAGCAACCCATTAAGGACACCCAATGTGTTCTTTTCCTTATCAGACAATTACCCTAAAGAGAAATGGAGATTCAGGCAAGTGCTCCTTGGCTATCTGATCTGGCCACTGGCTCCTCAACTCAGCTCTTAGAAGTCGTTGAGCGACAGCAACCAGAATCCCCAGAGAGCATGGTCAATGGTCAGGAATGCTGGGATATGGAGTCCAGCAAGGTCTGGGGACCCAAGTTTGGGAACCATTCCATTAGGATGAGCAAAGGGGTTGTGCCTCTTAGTGGATGTTAAGCATCATAGAAAGAGAAGCATATCCCTTTTGGTTCGTACTGACCACTGGGGATCACAGTCCCTGAGAATCATACCTGCTCCTACCCTTTTGTGAGATCTGCCTCTTGGCTGCAGTATACCAGCTTCCATGGACACGCTCCACCCTTCTCCTCCACACCTCCCTGTCCCAGCTTTTTTCCTCAGTCATTTCAGTGGGACGGCAGGTTTGGGGGTGAAGGCTATACACAACAATCTAGAGCTCAGCCAGGAGACGGCGGTAACACAGTTGGCCAACATTTTCTTACGGTTCAGCCTTTTTCCAAAGCATTTCATGGCACAAAGAATCATGGACTTACAACATCTTCAACCAGGAAGGGAAAAGAAAGCACAACTTTGCACATTAAGACGGAGGATTTGTTGACCCCCATTGTTGCTTAACTAGTCCACCTGCTCCACCCGTTGAATATGTTTGAGTCCACGAGCAGTTCTCTTAGCAGATACAGGTTTTTCTGCTTCTCGTTCTGTACCATCAAGATGCATCTGACTTGTGGTGTCCCTATGAATGAATAACTTAACCTCTGAAAGAACCTGTCACCAACTGCCCTGCTCAAGTCTTGCAAACTCCAAGGCTGCGGTTTGTTTTGTTGCGTCCATCGGGTCTACACCTTACTTGTCTGCATGTGTCCATTGGATTCGATGCTTCTCTGCGGCAGCATCACGTCCTGCAGGTGGCTGCTCTTCTCTGGCCGGTGCTCAGTGGGATCTCCGTCCTCGGTGCTGTTGCCTTTATGGAGACACAGGACCTTCTGAAAACTTTGCTTGAAGTTTTCGGAAAGGAAAGCATACAATATGGGGTTGGCGCAACTGTTGGCGTAGGAGAGGACGACCACAAAGGAGAAAATGCCCACCAGGACGGGCTCCTCCGGCAAGATGAATATCAAGTTGACAATGTTGACAATGTAGAACGGGAGCCAGCAGAGGACAAACACCACCACGATGATGACCACCATCCTCGTTACTTTCCTCTCCGACCTCCGGCGCCTTGTAGAGCCAACCCGAATCCCGGACGACTTGACCTTAATTACAATCAACAAATAACAGAGACAGATGACCAGCAGAGGCCCAAAGAAACCCACCACGGAGGTGTAAATGATGAACACGGCGGACCAGATCTCAACAGGGTCAGGCCAGTTCATATTGCAGGTATGGAACATTTCCTGGACGTCGGCAAAGATGATGATGGGGAGGACCACCAAAATAGAGAAAGTCCAGACGGCCAGGCTGGTGAGCTTGGCCACCCTTGGCCGGCGCCACCTGGTGGACTTGATGGGGTGGACGACGGCCAGATAGCGGTCGAGGCTCATGACGGTCAGGCAAAAAATGCTTGTGAACTGGTTGATGCCATCGATGGCCGTCACTAATCTACACATGAAGGTGCCAAAGGGCCAGTAAGAGATGGCGTTCTGGGTGGCCAGGAAGGGCAAGCCGAGCATGAACAGAACGTCAGCGATGGCGAGGTTCAAAATGTAAATGTTGGTAACCGTCTTCATCTTGGCGTAACGCAGGACCACGTAAATGACCAAGGTGTTCCCGCTGAGTCCGACGGCACAGACCAACAAGTAGATGATCGGAATGAAGACGGAGCTCATGCTGGACGCTGGAGGAAACTCCATGAAGGTCTCATTACTTGCGTTCGCCAGAAAGGACAAATTCGCATCAGGTGAAAGGGTAGAAAAGCCCAAGGCATCCATGTTCCTTATCCCTTCTTCGTCTTCTTTTTTAAAGAAGGCAGAAGCCAATGTCCCCAAACATCTTTGTACCAGAAGAGAAAAAGAGAAAACAAATTAAATTCATGGTAATTTATGAAGAGATGCTTTTTTTTGCGGATGGTGTGCAGAATTTTTTTTTATAAAATGCATTAAATCCGCTGCCTTGTGACCTGCACTGCGAAGGGTCAAGATAATTAGCAACTCTGATGAGCAATTATTTATGCATTAAGCAGCTGTTTTCTTTCCACCCACCTATCATCTCCTACCAATGAAAATGAAGACTACAGTCTGAGCAAAAAAAAAGGGGGGGTTTCAAGAGTCACAGAAGGATCTTGATCGCTATCTGGAGGTTATATATAGACAAGGGTGGACAGAAGAGTCCGTTTCTGATTCAGATCAAGAAAAAACAAAACAACACACTTAGCACTGGTTTTGAAAGACTCGTGAAAAATATCTTTCACAGCAAACTGATTTCCTCACCTACTGTATTTTGTATTTAGCATGCCTTGTTCTGTGGTTGGTTAGTTAAAAGCAAGCAGCTCTTCATTTGCAAGTCTGATTACTAAGAGGGAAAAATCAGTTAAATAAAGAAATACAAGTTCTTCCTAATCTCTAACATGACTCTTCAGTTTGAAATGCATTCATCCATAAATTGATTCTATTTCTGCAACAATTTGAGATTTAAACATACAGAATATGGGAACACTCATTTTTTAAAAAATGCACCTTCTTGTACATGTTTCTCACTAAAACATGTTTATGTGTGGGTGTTTGTGTTTTGTAAGGACACACACACACACACACACACACACACACACACACAGTGTCCTAAAAGGACACTTTTTTCTTTGCACTTTTTGATATGTCATTTGAAAGAGCATGGAAATGCATTCATTGTTCTTAAAAGTAATTTCCAAAGCCTAGCTGTTTAAAAAAAGTGCTGCAAGAATTTAAGAACTGTGAAAAGCGATAATAATTTCCAAACAACATATTAGTCCAGGGTGTGTCAGCCAACGGACTTATTTCAAGATATGAAGCAAGGAAAATCTTTGAGCAGCACTGCTTATGAGATGCATCTCCGCCAGAGAAAGATGGAGGAGAGAACCGAAGAAAGAAAATAGGGACACCAAGGGATCAGAGTCTAAAAAAGAAAGTTATTCCTTCCCTTCCTACACGGATGTAAAAATGCTTCCCATATTCTGCGGCCGGACACACCCTGTCCTGCTGGCATAAACCCCAAGAAGACTGCTTTCTTTCATACATGGAGGAAATTGTGAAAGCTGTACTGTCAACCCCCGACAAGTGGCTGATGATGACTGTGCCTCTTGGAAGACTCTGCAACCAAGTGGTAACCATCTATACAACCCGTAGGGAATCTGTGCCTCCCTCGTCCTGATAACATTGGGCTCCAATTCTCATTAGACCAAGACAACATGGCCAATAAGATGGAATGATGGGGCATGGAGTCCATCAATGCCTCAAAGTTGATGGGCTTCCTATCCTCAATTTCAAACTTGTAGGGATCCGTACTTATCAACAGCACAACTGTATTTTAGCCCGTTCTTATGGAACTTCATTATATCCTCATCATCTCAGAACTGGAGAGAAAGAAGGGACTTTATGGATCTGCGAGTCCAGCCCTTATCAAAGAGGCCCCAGTGGGTGATTCGAATTCGCAGCCTCAGGCTCTGCAGCCATTGGCAAGATGGGTGGACTATAAATGGAACAAAGAAAGAAAGAAAGAAACCCCATGAGCTCTATTTAAATGGACTGTTTTAAATCTCACCTTTGAATAGCAAGACCATCTAACGGAAAGGTCAACTACAATGTAAAAACAGAGGAATAAATAATTGCATCCAATAAAGTGTATTTACTGTTTATCCAAGCTTCTGTCTCATAAAACTGGGTCATCGGCAAGGTGACACACGTCTCTTTCTCTCATCCTATTCCTGAGCAGGAGAGGCTACCCCCGTCTGGAAGTTAAGGCTACTAAGAAGCAGCAGCTACTCTAATAAGGAGCAGCTACAACTTGTACTAAGGCAAAAAAATAATAAAACTAGAAAACTGGATGTCGTTGCCAGAAATTCAAAGATCTCAAGAAGGAGGAGACAAATCTTAAACTGGATTTTACGAGCCCTTTAGAGCCTGGTTTTGTGCCACGTTGCTAGCCATCGTTGTCTTTGCTGCAAGCGAGTCACTTCCACATCGCCAGCCCGAGATATTTAAATACATAAAGTCCACGGACAAACCCTTCACGAGAGAGACAAGTCCTTCATAAACAATATCAATACGAGTAATTCTCTTAAATTACCCATGCGGATGATCGATCTGTGAAAAACCGGCCATAAAGCCATCAGGGGAATAAAAATCATAAGGATGAGGCAACTCACCATCTCTGTGAAAAGTCTTTCGGATGATTATTATTGTTCTTTGCAGTCTTCGGACAAGTGGACATGAAGAGGGAACCGCTTAGCTTTGCTAAGAGGTTTCCACCTGGTAGGATCACCCACTTGGAAGTCATCCTGATTTGAGATGACCGTGTATATGGCCAATTCTCTCTCCCAGTTAAATACCTTTGAGTATTGTGTCTCAGGCTCCACCTACATTGGGTACAGGGAGTTGCTGAATACCCTTCCTTCGCCTGCGCCTGACAATTATATTTGAAGCAATGCACCCAAAACAGTTCATCAGGTCTTTTCCAAGAGAATCGGAAGGCAGCCGGCATTGCCTCGATGCTCATTAGGAAGCCTGCTTTCTGGATGACTTGAAGAGGAACCTCTGAGGCTTTGGGGCACCCAATCTCTTGTGATGAGAATGAAGCATCCCTTAACACTCCTTGACCATCCGGACATTAAAATCAATCAATCACCAAGCACCATACAGAGACACCTTAGAGTCAGTAGAAGGAGAACGCCATCTTTCCTGTGCAAGAGATGGGCAATGGGATTTCGCACAAGCGAAATGTGAACCCCGCCTTAAGGGAAGGAGGGTGGCTTTATTATGGACAGGAAGAAAGTTACTTTCCCCCCACATTCAAATTTTGTGGTTGTTGTTGAAAACTTCGGGTTGGTTTGATCGAATTTGTAATGACACGTGTCAATATGGATGGCACCTTTTTAAAAGAAAAACTCACCAACATTCCAAAGCATCCCCATATTTGGATATTTTATACCTATTTCCAGTAAGGGGAAGAGCCTGTTATACGATTTCTGCCCTATGCAACTTTTAGAGATGCGGATCCTGTTAGGAAATAAGGAAGGAGGTAGAAACCCCACTAACTCATCCCTAAACCCAAAGTGAATGCTCTCTGCCCTTTGGCTGCCTGAGAAGGTTTTTTCCTTGCTTCCCCATTTGCATCATTCAAATCTTTAAATTTCCCATTTATGCAACAACACAAAATATATGGATGTTATTCCCTCCCGCTCCAAGCTCTGGATTAATTAACACAATGGCCGTGTGTCCCAATGACCCATGGAGAGATAGGACTGGTTTACACCAGAGAAAACTCGTTGTTTGAGGATTGTGGGGGTGAGAATTGGAACCTCTCGTCATGAAATGTCATCATCATCATCTTGACGAGCATGTTTAGCTTTGAGAAAAGAAGACTGAGGGGAGATAGGACAGCACTTTTCAAGGACTTGAAAGGTAGTCCTATAGAGAAGGGGCAGGATCTGATCTCAGTCATCCCAGAATGCAGGGCACATCCTCATGGGCTCAAGTGACAGGAAACTAGATTTTGGCAGAATATCAGGAAAAAAGAAACTATTCAACTGTTAGAACAGTATGACAATTGGACATCAGGAAGTGGTGAGCATTTCAACACTGGAGGAAATTGGACAGCCCTGTATCGGATCTGCTTTGATTTGGAGTTTGGGCTAAATGGCCTTAGGAGACCCTTTCAGCTTCATGATTCTATGGTCTTAGATGTCAAGGTGAGGCATATTCTTACTCTGTACCCTCGGATCCTGGGGGAATCTGTGATTCACAGACTCCAATGCATGGAAACACTCTCCCCGGTGTGACCTTCATGTATAAATGGAAACCATCAGAGCTCAAAGGATGGAAAATGGCCTGTATCCAGAAATGGGTGACCAAGCTGGTCAATCAAGATCTTTGGGGGCTCAGCTGATGGAGTTGAAGAAGGCAAAGAGGTGATAGGGCACCACCTTCAAATATCTTGAAGGGCGATCACTTTGAAGTTGGAACAAGCTTGTTTTCTTTTCTGTGGCTTCCGAGGGTCTGGACCCAAGCTCACAGATTCGAAGGACCTGAACGAAACATCTCGGAAAGAAGCCATGGAGCTGTTGGGGAAGAGAATGGACTGCCCTTGAAGATGATGGGTTGTCTTTCACTGGAAGGCTTTGAAACAGAGGTTGGGTGGCCATTAAATCAGGGGGGGGGGCTGTGGATTTCCTGCCCTGACCGAGGGCTGGACTAGATGACCTTTTGGATCCCTTTCAACTCTACAATTCTATGATTGTATGAAAAGGAGGTTCTACATGTATCCTGTATGGGCGTTGCATGCAGAAAGTCAGTGCCTCAGAGGTATGACCACCATTTTGCAAACAAGAAGGTCAAATTCTGAGCTGTGGATGGCGGAATGCACTGGGAGTCATGGATCGGGCAACCCCAGATAGGATGTTCAGACTGCTTTGCAGCAAAAAAACATTTGTGACAGATTGTACTTAGAGCTGACAGCACCTTAGTGTTTAAGAAACCATGACTAAGGCAGTGTTTCCCATCTTAGCTGTCACACTTGAAAGGATTCCCATGTTTCAATCCTAAAGACCAGTCTCAAAAAGAAAGCAAGCTGGTTTGTAAATTCCAGAAGGCAAGAGAAGCTCTTCTTGTGATAATCACACATGACCAGCCCTTCTTTTTTCAAATATGTACTACCTATAATGTCATTTCCAGTCATAACACCCACTATTGCAGCCCATTTCACGCCCGCAGGCACCAGCCGTTGGGGTGAACAGGAGTCAAGCAATGGGACTACAGGGGTGAATATATGCAGCAATTTCTGTGTAAAAGAAATTACTGTAATTGAATATGTTGCTTCTCATGGGTGACAAACAGAGGTGCTACACTTTGTAGACTGTAAGTTGTGACATGACTAGTAATAGCCATGCTGGTCAAAAGGGACAGACAGAAAAAATAATGTCTTCTGCATGGGAAACACATACCCGGCTAAAGTCCTGAAGACCAGTCTGGAAACACAGCCAGAGAATCGGCAGATGCTAGGAGCTCCTGCTAGAACAACACTCACACATCAGCCGCCCTTAAGGATTATCGCTGCTAATGACGGGTTAATCATAACTGTCTATTTCTGCTAGAAATAGGTGGCACCTTAATATCCACATCGTTTGGAGCTATATTCCTCCCCCCCAAATTATCCCATAATATTTCGGCTGTCTTTTGAGTGCTACAAACCTTTCTTCACGGTACCCAACTTTATGTCCGAAAACGCAATAAAAACAGGCTTACCTGCTCCGAATTGCAAAGGCGTAGAGGTTCCTTTTCTCTCTTCCTTCCTTCCTTCTGAAGGATCAAGGTGTAAAGTCAGTTTTTCCCCCTCCAGGTATTCTGCTGACCCTCCAGCCGTCCTCAGGACCAAAACGGAGGGGGCACCCGGTCTCCCGGCGGCGCCTTTCTTTCCGAACCCGATCGCCCTGCTTTGGATCGCTGCTTCTCCTTTCTTTCCTCCTCGGTCCCCGTTCCGACGTTCCCCGGCTCTCGTCGCCGCCAGGCTCGGGGCGAACGCGGGTTCCGCTCGCTTCCAGATGGAGTCCCGGAATAAATATCTCCCGGGAAGGCTCTAAAAGTAGTCCAACGGAGGTGGGAGTAGGTGGCCGGGGAGGAGCAGCCGGGGAGGCGCGGATGACTCGCCTGTTGCGCTTTTGAAAGGCTGCGATCCGTGGGCTGAAGCCACCTGCCGTCCGCGCTCCCGTCTGGCCGCAAGGCAGGGAGACGCACCCGCCCTCCGCAGCTACAAAGGGCCGGATTTCTTTTAAAACAAAACAAAAACAGAAAAACAAACGCCACGTGGAAATCTCTGCTTCTTGGTAGGAGGAAGAGGAGGCCAACACCAGGAGGAGAAAAAAAACAACACGCCCCACTCCTGGATTTCCTAAAAGAATCGAGAGTCAGCACGGATCCAAAGAGACATCAATGCATTTATTACCACCAGCTGGTTCCCGTGGTGTTGCGCTCTGTTTGGGTAAACCAGGGACTAGCAACTTGCCCCGAGGAGGATGCAGTAGGAATAATGTTCGCCCCCAATTTTCCTCTGTCTTGCTTCAGCGCCGGAGTTCGAGGTTCAAAGCGGTGGGGGGTGGGGAGGAGCAGAGGGGCGGACAACTGCGGCTCATATCTGTGCCGGAGTCCCCTGCCTTCTTTCTACTGAGGTTCCCATCAGGTCGGACGTTCACACGTTCACACAAGGACATCCTTGCTCGTCCAGGAAGCGCGAGCTCTGAAGAAAGAAATGTAACCTTTGGAGAAGCAACAGCAGAAGATTCAGTGGTGGTGGGGGGGAGGGACAAGCCTGCCCCCATTCCGTGCTCGGTTCTTCGGGGGGAGGCAGAAGGAAGGGCTCCAGAAGCGCGCGGATGGGCAGACGAATCGGTCCGGACAGAGGTCCCGAACTGAACCAAGTTAATTCGGATCGAGCAGATCACGATCCGGGGAAGTGGAGGAGGAGGAGGGACGCCGAGTTTTCCCCAATGTCAGTTTCAAGGTGACAAAAGGAAAAAAAATGCGAGTCAATTTCAAGTCAATTTCAGGCTGGCTCTTGTGCCTCCCGGCGTTTCTCGGTCGTCCCGAGCAGGAAGAAAGGGACCGAGGTGGCGAGAATTGGGGGTGGGTCGGTGGGTGGGATCAAGCCCCCTCCCCTTACTCTTGGTTGCCTTACTTCCCAGTCTCAGCCGGGCTTTAACGAGGATCCGGAGGATGCTTTCCGGGGGTGGTGGTGGAGGAGTTACTCTCTCCCCCCTCCCCAAAAACACCCCATGGGTTTCAGGATCGCTGTGCGTGGAATCTCCACTCCCTCCCGTTTGTTCTCCGGTAGCCCCTTCCTCTCTCGTCTTCGGAACCCACCCACCCCCGATAGGAAGCCTGGAGCGCCGGGCTTCCACGCGGCGGGTCTCTCCAGCTCCAGGGCCCGGCAGGGGCGGAGAGGGGCGCCCCCGCGCAAGTGGTGAGGCCGGCTCCGGGGGGGGGGATCCGGCCGGGAAGGGGCGGTCGCCGGCCTTCGGGTCCAAAGCGGCCGCCGAGCTCGGCTTGAAAAGGGCGCGGGGGCTTTTCAAAAGAGCAGCGTTTGCAACGCGGAGCTCCGATCGTGTGCAAGCTTTACAGCCACACCGAACGCTTGGGGAGGCAACCTTCTTGCTTAGACAGAGCTCAGCTGCTGAAGTTCTATATAAATAAATAAATAAAAAAGCCGGGCTTCCTGCGAGCCGTCCCGATGTTCGGAGAGCTGTCGTTTTAAGGAATGGGAGGACGATTCAGCTAGTGAATCTAGTTAAGCATTTAGGAAGTGCTGGATAACCCGGCATATTTTGTATCTGGTTGGGAGTTCGATTCCCCCCTCGGTGCCTCCTTGGCAGGGGCTGCACTCCATGATCTAGAGAGGTCCCTTCCAGCTCTGCAGTTCGAAGATGATGGTGATTGATTGATTGATTGATTGATTGATTGATTGATTGATTGATTGATTGATTGTAAATCAGTCAATCAATCAATCAATCAATCAATGCTGTCCAGGATCTCCTGGGAGTTTAGTTTTTAATCCAGAACTCTAATTATGCACACCTTGATTGCTGGCCACTAATTATGCACACGGGGGGGGGGCTTTTGGTGCATGGAAGTTCTGCCCTGCTTCTGTCCAGCGTGCCAAACTTATGCATGTCCAGTTTGGTAAGGGAGAACAGTTTTCTGCAGCCACCACGGTTGGACTCAGGTTCTCGGGCGGAGCAATTGCATACCATGTGAAAAGCCGAGGAAAAAACAAACAAACAAAACCCTGCCCCTTTGAGAGTAATTTTAATCCTCCCAAGAGGAGATTTGATGGAATGGCTCTCCCCACCCCTCGCCAGCCTCAGTGTCCGTTTGGGTCCCCTTGGATTTGGAAAGCGTAACCCCCAGAAGGACCTCCTCAAATGCCAGCTTCCTGTGGTTGGACTGGAGATCAGAGATGCAGCCGCTGAGCCTGGAGGACAAAGCGGTTGCCACAAATGGCTTTCTGATCGCGATTTTGCATTTTAAAAAGTGTGTGCTTTCCCCATGTAACCAGCTGGATGCCAACAAGCTTGGTCATCCGAGAGTTGGAAGCTTCAGACAATAGATCTTGAGTGCCATGAATGAGCAACTTCTCCTCCTTCTCCTTCTTCTTCTTCCTCCCCCTCCTCTTCCTCCTCCCCCCTTATTGTTATTATTGCCAAGTACAGAGGAAAGTTAACTTGTGCAATTTTTATGCTTGATACACCCAAACAGCTGGGCTGGTTTGGAGGGTCTGTTCAACCTGGACACCATTCGCTGCTTTGCCTCGGCTAGCAGAATGAGTTTGGACAACCCAGGCCTGCGATGGGTGGCCGCACCCCATCCAGTATGGTTCAGGGCCGATCCTCTTTGGCATATTGACTTGAAGGAAAGCTGTGTCGGTCAAGTGGAAGGGAAATCTCCATTTGTGCTCTCTAAGCTTCATGGGCGGGTTCTAAACGTGATTCCAGAGAGAGGCCACAGAGCCCAAAAACACTAAACTCTTAGGATCCAAACCTTTATCTCTAGTCATGTGAAGAGACAGAGGGAGCAGTTCACGGAGCAAAAATTAGATCCAGTTACCACCTGCCCAAAATTGTATTACAGTAAGTTGTAATTTGTTCTTCTTAATAATGGCAAAGCTTGAACAGCAATCCACGATGCTGCCTGCCACTGGCTGTTACTGGTTGTTTGGCTAATTACTTTGTGTTACTTTCTGTTCCTTTCCAAAGTTAATGGAACTTGGGCTTGGAAAATTCTAATTGAAATGCCTCTAAAATGCCTTTGAAAGGCAGTTTTCAGAAACTTTATAGAAAACGTTGCCCATTAGGTTGACAGAGTGTCTTGGTTCTTGCTTGTTCCTCTGCGCTTGAAACCAGCCTTCGTACACCTCCGTTGTTCCCCAAAGGTAACTGCATTACTTGTGTCTCATTACTTCTGATCAGGGGTTGGGATGATGAGAAGAAAACCGAGCCTTTTCAATGGGAGAGGCGGAGAAACCCTCGAAACCATGATAAATCTCTCCACCGCCCATGTCTCGTTGGCCATTACTTCTTGAAAACAGAGAATTAGTGTCATAATGTGAACGATGAGCCTGCCTCGTTTGCCACGCAGGCCCTGATGAATGGCTTTTATGACAATGGCAGCGGTTAACATGAAATATATGCCGGAGGGCAGGCGATGGCGATGGAAAGAGTCGACAGCCAGGGAGGTGGAAGCATCGGCCTTGGGCCTTTGATGCTTTGGAAACCGACTTATCGAAATTCTGCACGCCAGCCTGAAGTCCCGGCTGCTGGTTCATTTCGGAAACACGTTTTGATGGGGAATGTTCCATGGACAGCCTTTCCTGCTGAGTCAAGAGTAGAAGTGAGAAGCAGGTGAGGCAGAATGATATATTTTTCAGCGCGGATCTTATTGGGAGATGTTGTCTTTGGTTGTTGGCATGCTTGCATTCATAGCCTGCCCTGCAGGGGATGAGTAAAGCATCTGCTGTTCATCAAGAAAGCTCCCAGCTTGCCCTGGGACGGAAGCAGGAAGCTTCGGTAGAGTTACACCTAGGTAAAAGGTTCCCTTGACAATTTTGTCCAGTCGTGTCCGACTCTAGGCGGTAGTGCTCATCTCCATTTCCAACCCATACAGCCAGCGTTTGTCCAGACAATCTTCCATGGCCATGTGGCCAGCGCGACTAGACATGGAACGCCATTTACCTTCCCACCGAGGTGGTGCCTGTTTATCTACTCCCATTTTTGCATCTTGCATGCTTTCGAACCGCTAGGTTGGCAGGAGCTCGGACAAGTGACGGGAGCTTACTCCATCGCGTGGATTCGATCTTATGATTGCAGGTCTTCTGACCTTGCAGCACAGAGGCTTCTGCGGTTTAACCTGCACTACCACCACGTCCTTAAAGATTTCCAGGGTAGGCCTTTTTCCCCAGGTGAGTCACAGTTAGGTCTCTGCAAGATGTGTGTACATCAGATAGACCTCCCAGAATGGGGAATGATGAGATTTGTAGTCCAAGGAGCCCAAAACTCCCACTCCTCATCACAGAAGCAAGTAAGTTTCTCGTAGGACAGGGTCCTCAGCCTTCCATATCTTATGTCCCGCCAGCCAAAGTGGTCGGGTTATCAGAGAACCTCAGATCCATTATGTTTGCAACGTATAAAGTCCATTACTTCACAGAAGGACATTGACAGGTTTGGAAGCTTTCACTTACAACAGTGGATAGGCAGGTGGAACGGATGCTTAGGAACGTCCAAAGTTGGGGAAGGGCATCTTATCCCAAGCAAGTGTGATCAAAGGGGACATTTACATTGACGGCATCCAGAAGGAATATACTGGTGTCGTTACTGGGCTACAACCATTCTAGTCCCAGTTAACGTGGTCTGGCTGAAGCTGGTGGGATCTGTAAGTCAACACTCATGCAGGTCCTGCTGATTTTGTTGCCTCAACGTTGGCAGAGGCTGAAATGAGATTTAGATCCATCTAATAAGAATGAGATCAACTGCTAAGCAGGTGGTGGGGGGTCTGGACCAGTTCTGGGCCACTGGAGAAGAATGGATGAGCGCCGGTCCACTTGTCAATCTGCTCCAGCATCATCTGTGTGCATCATGCCAAGCAATGAGCCCCCCACATGGGGTGCCAGTTTCACATCCGAAAACAATGTGGTC